ACTTCCTATTATTATTACTATTAGAACGCGATAGTAGCTTACACTAGCTCTACACCTCTCTATAGGTGCAATAAGAACGCTATAGCCTCTCTATAAGGATTCTTAGGCTTTACTAGTAGTAATATTATCTTTTATAGCGTGTCTATAGTATACCTATTTAAAAGTAGATTTAGGCTAATACTAGTTATACTAGAGTCCCTATTATTAAGTGTAAGTTAGTAGGCTAGTAGGTAGTTAGGCTAGTTAGTCTGCTTAAAGCATACTATTATACGCAGCACTACCTACACCTCTTAGTTTGCCTGCTCTATCCTGCTATCTATCTAGGGGTGGTATATAGTAGACAGTAACTAGTTTATCTTTATTATCTAGTATAATATTATCTAGAAAGATTCTAACTAGTTAGAGCCTTAGTTAGTAATAATAGAGGATAGGAAGCCCTAGAACTACTACTAGTTGTCCTAAAAGATCCTTGCATAATAATTAGCTACTATAGAGACTATTACTTTAAGCTAAATATATTTAGATAATCTATTAGTAATAACTAATAGGAACTAGGGTTTACTATTATCTTTTATAGGTAGGTTAACTATAAAATCTATAGATATTTAGGACTAGTATTATAACGCAACTAGTATAGGTTATAATAGACCCTATTAGCGCTTCTAGGAGATATAAGCACTATAATAATAGTAGTTCTAAATATACTACGTAATATCTCCTAATATTCTATCCTAATAATAGTTACAGCGCAGTATTTAAAATATTATATTCTTCCCTAGATATCCTACTAAACCTAATTTATATACTTGCTATATAATAGTAGTAGTAAGGGGTTCCTATATTAGTAACTAAATAACGCCCCTCTAAAGCAAAGTGCTGTGTGCGCTAATTATATAGTCCCTAATCTATTACTTTATATTAGCTAAAACTAGGAAGGACCTAGCGCCTTTCTAAACTATATTAAGACGCACTTAGTATATCTTATCTTCTAATACTACTTTGTCCTATAGTGTCTATATATATAGGTTAGTGAAAAGGCTAGCGCCCTTTAGTAACTTAGACGCCTCCTCTACTTCTAACACTATAACCTAAATTAATTTAGGGCGTATTACTAACTATAGTGTTGCTTTAGAGGAGTTTAAATCTTATAGTTACCTACTTAAGGTATTAGGTTATCCTATAAGATAGCTAGGTCTATACTATAGGATATACTAGTATTTTAAAAGTTCCTCTACCTAGTAGTATTATTACTTGCTTAAGCTTTAAAGGCTAGTAAAGTACTCTAGGTTTTTATAGTCTATAAATATTATAAATAGCTTATAAACACTCTATAGCTCTACTAACTAACTTTTAAGATACTTAATAATAGCTAGTAATTCCTTATTATATATAGTATAGTTTTATCTCTCTAGTATTAGTACTATAAAGTAGTAAGTAACTAGGCGCTAGACGCCCCTAACTTTTTATAATAAGTAACCCCTAAGAGCGTATCCTAAATAGTCTACTTCTAATAATATTTCTTTAGCTAGGTCCTATTATATTAGTACTAGTCTAGATATAAATGCCTTTTTTAGTATATTAAATGTACTCTATTCTTCCTCTCCCTATTAGAATAAGGTATCCTTCCTAGTTAGTTAGTTTAAAGGCGCTGCTACTTTAGAAAACTTTATAATAAAATTATAGTAGAAGTTAGTAAAACCTAGAAAACTTCTTACCTCTCTTATATTCCTAGGGGATTCCTATTCCTATACTACCCTAAGCTTTTTAGGGTTAGGTCTAAGTAATTTGCCTACCTTAATAATATAGCCTAGGTAGCGTACCTCCTTAATACTAAACATACACTTCTCTAAGTCTAGGTGTAGTCCTACTTCTTTTAATAGTATAAGTATACACTTTACTTTTTTTATATAGTTAAACTAGTCTCCTCTTAAATAAATTAGGATATTATTAAGGTAGGCTATTATATATAATCTAAGTAACTCTATAAGTGTAGTATTAATATATTATTAGAAAGTAGATAGCGCACTACTAAGACTAAATAGATATACTAACTATTTATATAACCTAAACTAGGTATAGAAAGCTATTAAGGACTTATAACCTTCTACTATTCTAACTTTATAAAAGGCAGCGTAAATATCTACTTTTATAAACTAACTTGCGCTAGATAGTGTGTGTAAAGTTTCCTTAATAAGTAGTAGTAGGTATTAGTCTAATATTATTATACTATTAAGTATCTAGTAATCTATATAAAGGCGCTAACTACCTAATAGCTTCTTTACTAGCAACACTAGAGCTCTAGCTATAGAAGAGCTTACTTAGATCTAGCCCTTATCTATTAATCTAGTAAGTTATATTCTTAGTTCTAGTAATTAGTTAGCTAATATAGGGTATAGGGGACCCTATAGGGGGTTAGGCTAGGTTCTATCTAGGAGAGTTATTAACTAAATATAGTAATCTATACTACCCTAATAAGGCAGCAAGCTACCTACTAATTCTTTATTAAATAGGTCCCTAAACTCTTATAGCTCTAGTAGCAACTTTATCTTCCTAGTTTTATACTCTAGACTATAGGGGACTGTGTTACTAGCAATATAGATAGTGTGTATATTAATAGCACTTCTATTATTAACACTTCCTAGATACTTTACTAGGCGCAAGTTATATATTACCTATAAAATATCTAGTATATTTATTATAAAAATCTATACCTATATATCTTCCTATTAGGATTTTTATTTTAATAACCCTACTATAACTAAACCTAAGATAATAGAGATATAGGTAGGATATAGGCGTCTCCTGCTCTCCTACACTACTATATTCCCTACCTCCCTAATTACTAAATTGCCTTGTAGTATATCTATAATAACGCCCTCTCTACATAGCTATAGTCTGCCTAGTATTAATTAATAGGGTAGACTAGGTACTATATAAGCTAAAAGCTAAGACTACTAACTATATAAATTATAGTCTAAGGCTACTAACTATAAAATCCTTATACCCTTAGTAATTCCCTAGGTATATTATAAGGGCTATAGGGGAATATTAATAAAGTTCCTACTAATCTATCTTACTAACCTTTCCTTAACTACACTAAAACACTAGCACCCTAAATTAACTATCGCTTACACGTTCTTTACTCTACCTAGGAGGAAGGGAATAAAGAAAGGAGGATTATTTAACCTAGCCTTAATATCTAGGGGACACTTAATAGCCTCTACTATTAATAATTCTTCTATTATAGTATCCTCCTTATACCCCTAACTTAGCCTAAAGTTAGGGGTAGCTAGTTTCCTAAATTAGGGCTACTTGCTAATACTATAACTATCTTAACACCTACTAGTTATAGTAATAGGGTATTAGGGCATACACGCATAAAATAACTACCCTATCTATACTAGGTGTAGACCTTTGCTAGTTTCTATATATTAAATAGGTCCTGTAGGATCTAGTTAGGACGTAATATTAGTAGTTTAGTAGGTACACTTAATAAGGCTACTACTTCTACTATATTTATATTACTATCCTAATCTAAGTTAGACTTCTACTAGGGTTCCTTAGACTTACTAGCCTAAAGAAAACCTAGTTCTAAAGAGGCTATTTTAATATCTACTATAATTATCTTATATTCCTCTATAGCTACGTTATAGTTTGTCCTAGAGACTCCCCTATTAAGGGAAACTAAGCATATATAACTATTAAGAGATTACTAAAGTTATAAAAGCTTCTATTTATTATCCTAGTATAAACCTCCTAACTATATAAGAAGCTATATAAAATTTATAAAGAACTCTATAAAAGGCTAATTTTAGCCCTAATATAAGTATTCTAATATAACTTAGGCGCACTCCTACCTATAATAGTTACTATAATAGAATACTAGGTAGTTAAGAAACCTACTTATATCCTAATGCTTACGTGTACTATCCTTAAAGTATAGTGCTATAGCGCGCTAGACTATAGGTAATAACTAGGACTAAATATATATAAACCTTGCCTCCTTATCCCTAATAAAGACCTTATCTACACGTAGTTTAAACTCTATAGTTATTTACTAAGAGGAGAAGTTTACCTTAGTGCTATTATATAGTAAGCTAACTAGGAAGGGTTTATAATATAAGGTAGTAGAGGGTAGAGGTAGTATATTATTAAACCTAGTAGGCTTAGAGGAAGGTTAGGATAGAATCTAATTACGTATTTCCTTATTCTATTAATATAGTATAGCTATTATAGTAGAGTCTTAAGCCTATTATTCTATTAATCTATAGACCTATTATATTAGCCTTTCTACTATATTAGATTATACCTAATTATTCTAAATATCTAGCGCGTCTATCTCTTATTACTATTATAGTATATTTAGAAGAAGATACTAAAATATTATAGACTAGCCTTAAGGGAGAATATAATAAGTATTAATAATAGTATTTAGTATCTTAAAGGAGAGATAAGCCCTCTACACCTTTTTATAGGTGTCTAGTGTGTTCGCTTAGTAGTGGTGTTAGACTTAGTCTATCTTATGTTAGACCTAGGCTTAGGCATAAGCCTAAGTCCTTTACACTAGGTATAGGATAGCTATAACCTCTAGTAAAGCTAATCCTAAAGAGCTAGAGTGTGTAGGTAATAAGCTAAATAGGTTTAGGTAAGAAGCTATATTAGTAGTGTAGTATTATAGTAATATAGTAGCTAAAGTAGTAGAAGCTAATAAAGAGTAATTAATATAAGTAGGTACTAGTAAATAAAGCTAATTATACTAGCAGATAAGCTAGGCTTATAACCTAATATAATAAGAAAGTATTAATTAAAGAATCTATAGACAAGAAGCTAAGGTGGCTAGATATAGATATCCCTACTAGTCCCAAATGGGTGTCTCCCAGACAACCCGGGATAGGGGAGTCGCCAATGGTGGTAGGCAGTCACCACCTCATTAGGGTAAGCACCATGGCTGATACAAGGTAAGCACTATGGATATAGAAATAACATGTAGGACTGCGTCCATGTGTGTACCAACCGAGCAGTTAGATGCAGCGGCGCAGCTTTTCCGCGACAAGCCTGAACAATTTGAACCCTTTCGACCTTCTGCAATGAAAAGAGCTATGGGATTAGAGGATTATTTCCGTCGATTCAAGTTTGTGGGTCTACGCTTGTTCTTCATCCTTATGTCCTCACGAGCCCATGATATACCCTGCAAGCCAGAAAATATCGAGTACAGCCAGAGGGGTTTGCCATATCCTAAATTCCATATCTACGCACAAAGCCTTCTGGACACAAAAAGAATTGTAGATCTTAACGTCCATATCGATGGTATGAATCTTACACTGGAGTGGGGCAATGAGAACCTTAATCTTGAAGGCACTGTTAATGCTGATTGGGGTCGCTGGAAGGCAGACCTTATACTTGGCGGACATGCTGCTGAAGACGAGATGCCTAATCGGTGTACGCCCCATGATGTCTGAACTGAGATTTGGGATAGCATGGTAAATGATGAGGCAAAGAAGATGCGACAAGGTTTTGGAAACGCGGCCGCAAGGATCCAGGGCTGAAAAAGCGAGACGATTGTTAGTGTTGCAGAGGAGCCTCCTGTATTGCGCGCTGGAGTTCGAGACGACACCATCAAGGCTTATTCTTCTAAACTCTGTTCCCTCGTTCAGGATACTGGATCCGGATTGTCAGGGGTCTTGATGGTGATCAGACTAGAGAAAATAGAGGTTTCCGTTCGCGCAGCTGTCAGATGGGCGAACACTGGCGAATGCCCGCTGTTGTACGTTTTTTTCTCTGGAATTCGAATACTGTTCGTCCTATGGAAGTCTATTATGTTTGGTTAAGTGGGCTGACAGTGATGATGCTGTTGTGACGGGTGAAGGAAGTTGTGTGGGCGGGTTGACACGTGATTGATTGTATACGCATGTTTCCTTTATACGGCTCTCCTTCTTTTTCTCCGGCGCCACCGTACACGCTTCGTTCACAATGGCTTTCGTCTTGCCGCTTTTATTCAAATGGCCCAGCTCACACGAAGGATCGGTATGATCTTCGACAGTTTGTCTCTACATCTTTAGGCCATCTGCTTTCATTTAACGAATCTCTTTACTAGCTAAGAAGCAGATGGGACTTAGATCATATTAGATCCATCGATGCTGAGAAAGGATCACGGTCCTTCTGCACGATATCAACCGCACTACTAACCTCAATAAAATCCTCCAACTCCTCACTCGTCGTCTTCAGCTTCTCCTTCACAGCAGTGACACCCTCAGTCCCTACAATATGTCTCGCAGGTGGGTTATCATGCCCCCCAATGGCAGTAAGCGCATGTACCGTCTCAGCAATCAACGAGCTCTTCAACGCCGTAGGCAGTGGCGCATACAATGATGTCACCGTATCGGAACTCAACAGATCACCCATTGTGTTTTCAGCAACATTTGCATCAGGAGTCGAGGACACGCTATCCGGAGACTTTGCGTCAAAGTTGGGATGAAGACTGGGGTTTTCGATGCGTTCTAATTTGTCGAGGAGGCCGGAGAAGATTTCGCGGGCGAGGGGAGCGGGATTTTCTTCTTGGAGGTATTCGGTCATTGGGGGGACGGAGGTGATGCGGTTGGTGAGCACGTTGACTTCCATATTTGCTTGGACAATGGATACTTTTATGTTGAAGGGAGCGATTTCGTAGGCGAGGCTCTGGAATTGTGTCAGTGATGTGTAGCAATAGAAAGAGGATGGGAGTGTGTACATCGCAATAGCCTTCTATGGCCCATTGCGAAGAGCAGTACATTCCTAGACCAGGTGTACCGAGATGGCCAGCTTTCCAAAATTAGCCCAAGCGAGACAATGGTTTCCTGGCAAAGTGTCACTTACTGATGCCTGTGATTACTATGATGTGGCCGTTCTTTCTCTCCCTCATGATTGGCAATACCGATTTGATGATGTTGACATTGGCGAAGAAGTTGATTTCAAAGATCTCATTCACCAGACTTATTGTTCGGCTGCTTTGAGCCAATTCTTCGACAGCGCCGATGACAGCTTCACTTGCAGCACATAGCAGAACATCGATGCGCCCAAAGGCTTCAATGGCTTCTGCAACAGCTGCCTGACATTGACCAACAACTCTATTCAAGCTCAGCATTTTGACAAGAAAATCCTACATGTTCGCTTTATTCACCTTCGATCCAGTCCAACAACGCGCAACCGCTCGCGCCATCGATCTGTTTTCTTTACATCTTCAAGAAACGCTCGAAAATCATCGGTTTGGCCTTCTCTTTTCTCGAACTCGGCTGGCACAACACCTGCTACCACGTAGTCACCATGTTCAAGCACTTGTCTTGCTAATGCAATCGCTATGGGCGACACCCCCCTCGTGATGAACCAGACGCGTGGTGCATTGTGGGGTGGAAAGTGGGGGGACCGCGGGCGCGGTGGCTTGGACGACGACGGTGCACTGCTTGTCATGTTGCAATACTCAAAGTATGAATCTACATTGCGCGATTCGTCCAATGCAACTTATAAGGAGCCCTCGGATCATCAAAGACGCATCGACGCGCGCAGCCAGGCTGGGGGACGGTGTTGCAATTGCCTAACTCCGTTGGCAATGCGCTAACCAAAAGCAGGCTAGCCAATATCAAATATGATTGTGAGTGTTCACTATCACCACCATTTCACCATCGGCACGAGCATCAAAAATCGTGAAATGTTGTCTTATCGACACAAAAGAATTCTTGGAACCTCTCTATATACATAGGTATGTGTGATCAAGCTGTTTTCAATCTCCCTCTGTCTACACTCTTATTCTAAATTTACTTTGAGGACACCACACTCTCTCTCCACTTACCGGCATTCTCCCATTTCGCTCAGTCGTCACATCTTAATTATGATATGCGAGTCTTCCAGCCACCTGCTTTACTCCCAGCCCCCGATTTCCATCCCACAATCGACCGCATGAATATTTCGTTCTTCGTCCCATCCTCCCTGTCTCATACCCTCCCATCTCATCTTCAACCACACGATCATACAATCTTCACAACTATCAGACTGCATCTTTTCCAACACTTCTACTCCAAACAATCAGTCAATTAGCCAATCAATCATGAGATTTTCGAGCACCCATCCCGCCCTCGCTAATATAGATTGGGATCAGGTCCACCAGGCTCAAGCTTGGCTGAGTCGCATCATCTGTGGTGACACCACGCACCGCGACGAGCTCCCTAGCTATTTCAGAAAACTCAGTCTTGACGAAGTATCTCAATTTGTCGAACTCAAGCGGCTTCAGGAGCTCGGTGCCATCAATCGGGGCCGCTGGATCAAGAAACAGAATTTGCTGCCTGGCGGTATTCGGAAGCGTGGGCCTGATTCTCGCTCTCATAGCAAGACCTACAACCAGCCTCTCACCATGGATCAGTATCAGCGTCATTCTATTCACCTCATTTCAAGGCTGCTCAATGCTCGCACCAATGCATCACCTTTCACCCTCGTCCTTGATGACCTCAACCAACGCGCCATGCCGCTCACTGGTGAGCTTGTTCGTCGTGCTCTGTCACGCAACGTCAACGTTGTCGTAATTGCCTTTGAGTCCTCTCGCTTCCACCCCGCTGTTCATCACATCTCTGCCCACACCAACATCTCCGGTGACGAGATCCTCAAAGAGCTGAAGCACATCATGGGCAAAGGCCGCGAGAGCCTTGTTATTATCGACTCCCTCTACGACCTTCTCAACAACAAGGGCATTGACATGGGTGAGCTGTTCAACCTCGTCGTCCACAAGTTTGCCTCGAACCTCGTCGGCATCTACCACCAGGACATGATCGCGTCGCAAGATGCCAACACTGCATATGCGGCCCAGCCTCTCAAGCTGTTCGAATACATGGCCACCGCCATCCTCACTTGCAAGTCCTTCGCCCACGTCCTCGCCGCCAAGGCAGCTCGTGAGCGCAGCTTGGCTGAGCCTACACACGGCCTCCTCCAAGGTGCTGAAGGTGTTGTCGAGTCCCTCGACGCCAATGACGTCCGTGGCATCGTCTTCGAAGCTGAGTTCCGCCGCCCATCTGGTAGAACTGAGAGCGAGACCTACTTCTTGCGTACCGCTCGCATATCCGACTATAACAACCCCACTTACGCACTGCCTCATGGTATCATCAAGCAGGAATTCGTCACACTCCTCGACATGGTCCCAACCTACAACAACCAGAACATTCTCGGCAAGGTCAGGGCAGCCGCTGATGAGATTGAGTCTACCTTCAACCTCGCTCTTACCGAGAAGCAGAAGCAAGCCCGTGAGGGAGTTGTCCTTCCTTACTTTGATGCTCAGAAGGGTGAGGGAGGTGAGGGAGGTCGCATCTTGTATGACATGGGTGAGGAGGATGACTTTGATGAGGAAGAGGATGAGATCTGAACACCGGGAATGCTCTCAACAAACGACTTGAACGACGAAATACGACACGGATAGATGGCGTTGGTGGCTCTCTTGATGGAATGGTCAGGAGATACCCTGCGTAGGCTTTACCATGAGACATACACCAAAGCGTCAGTGGAGGATGACAAGGTTATATTCTTGTTCTTGTTCATATCAGGCTTGCCTATACATAGTTGAGGCAATGATCGATGGACACTACGATGGATATACGGTACTGCAACACGAAAATACCGTATAGATGGCAAATACCAAAAAACGCACAGCTGCCCCTTTCAATGACTTGAACTTTGAACTGAACTTGGTATCAAAGCAAAATACTAGTTGTGGTAAAGAGGCATCTCGAATTACTGGCTATGCTTTCACTGATTGCTGTTCTGCTTGCTGCCTGGGGGGTCACACTGGACGGTTTTCCACACCCGCCCAAGCCTTCCTAGCTAGGCAGTTTGGGCTCTCAACACTACCGGCCCGCCTTAGCTCCAATGAATCCCCAACTCTTGTACCTTAACATCCTCTTGCCGCCAAATCTTCCCCACTCCACTTACGGCTTCACCTTCACACACTGCAAACCCCACAAATGTCAGACAACGGCCGACCACGCGATGATCGCGCCCGCGACCACCGTCGAGAGCCCCGCGATCGAGCCGGCACACCCAGCGACAGGCGCAACCGCTCCCGCAGTCCACGACGAGACCGCGGTGCGCCGCGTCGCGAAAACAACACACGATACCGCTCACGTTCGCCCTTCCACCGTGATGAAGGAGGCCGAGCTGATAGAGGCCGAGGAAGCGGCGGCGGCGGTGGCGCACGAGGCCGCGACGACCGATACTCCACCCGCGCACCTTACCCCGACCGCGACCGCAACCGCGCGCGCTCCCCTCCCAAAGGCCCACGGGGCGCCAACGCTGTGCCCCTTTCCCGCACTTCTGACAAGCTGCCCTCTGGCCCTCGTGGCGATGTCTTCAAAAAGGAAGATTCGCCCTCAGATACGGAAATGAAGGAGGAGCGGCAGAAGCCCGAGGGCGTGGACGATGACGACTGGGAGATGATGTGTACGATGGGTTTTGGCGGGTTCAAGAGCACCAAGAACACAAAGGTGCCTGGAAACGACAAGAACTTTGGGGTCAGGAAGGATAAGAAGATGGAGGCCCGACAGTACATGAATAGGCAGGGTGGCTTCAACAGGCCGCTCAGTCCGAGCCGGGGATGAGCGAGTGGAAGTATTAAGGGTCTTTGGGCCATTCTTACTATGAGCTACGTTAGTACGGCTGGCTGCTGCTGCGGGATGTTGTTGGGGACAAAGAGGCTTGATCAACGCTGGGAGGCGCTCCGCTGGCTGGCGACTCAACTGGCCAAGTGGATGAGAAACCGATATGTCATAACGAATGAGGTTGTTTCAGCTTTTTTGCACGGGACGTTGCTTTCGAGCGACTGTGGAGCATATGGTATGGCACCTCACAACTATATATGTTACCATTTCCACTCACACGTTCGACAATCAGGCATCGACGGAATAGAAGAAAGGGGAAGTGCCGGATCGGAAGAATTGAAGGCTCAAGATATGAGCATCATAAGACTCTTTTATCTGTACAAATTGAGAACAAACTATAAATAATAATAATTTGGCTCATGGTCCTATGTTGATCCCGTAATATTGATACTTTGATTGTCCTCTGCTAAAAGCCAATCCGATTTACAGGTCTTGAGCAATTACATGTCATTCTCCTGGGTTTGTTGTTGCTGTTAATATTGTTGTGAAACAGCGTACTTTGCATCGCTCGTGCGCAGCCAATCGGCATCCAGACAGACCGCGGAAGCACCGTGTCATGTTGGACACATATTCCCATCCCACGCCCGCTCACATTCCACACGCTGTCCACGATGAAGCTCGATCATGGGCACGGAGCCCTTTGGAAAGGCCTGGGATGTCTTCTCGCCCTCCAGTTGCCCCTTGTAAACGCGCAGGTCGCTGAGATTGAAAAGGCGACGAACGCCAGTTTGCTATGGGGACCCTACAGACCGAACTTGTACTTTGGAGTTCGACCTAGGATTCCGAAGAGTTTGATGGGTGGGCTGATGTGGTCGAGGGTGGATGATTATGATTCGGCGCAGCGCAGTAAGTTTGGACTGTTCAACTCTATTTGGGAGAGGGTCGTGGTGGGGGACGACGGCCGGGGTGAAGGAGCTACTTTGTTGGCACAATAACTACACTTGCAGGATACAAGAAACTAATTCAAAAATCTGACGATTTCAGCTTTCCGACATGAATGTGAACAGCATGAGCTGGATGGCTATGGCTGGGATGAGTACGATGTGCGCAGTGGTGGACGCCAGACGATCCACGACCCAGCGAATCGGATAGACATCACTACCGAGTTTATCAAGTTTCCTGGTGGTGAACATGGAGGGAGTTGGGGAGCTAGGATCAGGGGTACGTTGCGAGAGGATGCGGATCCTCAGCAGCGGACAACGGTCTTTTGGTACAATACGCTTGAGGGTGTTGGCATGTTGGATGCAGGCACAGCAGCTGAGGGCGAACTTGGCGTCTCGGGCGACGTCTTCATCAAGGGCGAGACGCCTGATTTGGGCACATTCGAGGTCAAGGTCACAGAGGGCCAAGGCCGTCACCCGCATAGCGGCCACCCAAGTGAGCATGACAAACCACTTGATCTGACACTGGTGCACAGTGGATCCGTCCCCGAGAATGTCTTGTGGCAGACGAAAGCCTTGATCTTCAAGCATATAAAGGGACAGATCGATCAGCTTGTTCTCAAGTACGACGAGAATGACCCGCCTCCGCCAGCCCAAGTCTACACCATCCAGCATCAGCCTAGTACTGGAAACATGCACGTGGTGCAGAAGGTCTTTGAAGGCCCATTCGAGTTCGACATCATCTTCTCGTCTGGTTCTGCGCCTACCAAGATCACTTCCGAGGACTTGACAGAACAGATTGGATCTGTCACTTCGACCTTTTCTTCACGCTTCACTGAGATCTTTGAGCCTCAGCCTCCTTTTATCAAGGAGCGCTACGAGGAGTTCTCCAAGTCACTTTTCTCCAACTTGATTGGAGGTATCGGATACTTCTACGGAGACTCTGCTGTGGATCGCTCCTACGACCCGGCCTACGAAGAGGATGACGAGGGCTTTTGGCAAGATGCTGCTGAGGCGCGGAGCAGGAATCAACCCGTTATGGAAGGCCCGTCTGAGCTATTCACGAGCATCCCATCAAGATCTTTCTTTCCGAGAGGCTTCTTGTGGGACGAGGGCTTCCATTTGTTGCCCGTTCTGGACTGGGATGCTGATCTTACGCTCAACATCATCAAGAGCTGGTACAATCTCATGGATGAGGATGGCTGGATCGCCCGCGAGCAGATCCTCGGTGATGAGGCTCGCAGCAAGGTGCCAGAGGAGTTCCAAGTGCAATACCCGCACTACGCCAATCCACCCACGCTGTTCATGGTCATCACCTCCTTCCTTGACAAGTTCGACGCTGTCAAGGCCGATACGACAAATGCCAAGTTGATTGCGGAGAAGTCCTATTCCATGCAGCTTGCGAACCGCGAAGCGGCATTGCAGTACCTCCGCACACTATACCCTCTATTCAAACGCCAATACTTCTGGTTCCGTAAGACGCAAGCCGGCGACCTCAAGAGTTACGATCGTGAGGCGTTTTCCTCAAAAGAAGGCTACCGCTGGCGCGGACGCACACCCCAACACATTCTAACATCCGGTCTCGACGACTACCCTCGCCCACAGCCACCCCACCCAGGTGAGCTGCACGTTGATCTCATCAGCTGGATGGGCATGATGACCCGCGCCCTAAAGCGCATCGCAGTCTACCTCGACGAAGAGGAAGACGCCGCAGAGTTTGCAAAGTACGATGAAGCCATTACCCGTAACATTGATGATTTACACTGGTCTGAGAAGGAGAAGACATACTGCGATGCCAGCATTGATGACTACGAAGAACACGTTTTCGTCTGCCACAAGGGGTATATCTCCCTCTTCCCCTTCTTGACAGGCCTATTGGACAAGGATAGTAAGAAATTGGGTGCCGTGTTGGACTTGATCGAGGACGAGGACGAGCTTTGGAGTCCGTATGGATTGAGGAGTTTGAGCAAGAGTGATGAGCTTTATCACACAGGAGAGGACTATTGGAGGGGTCCTGTGTGGATGCCGATTAATTATCTGGCAGTCTCGCAACTTTTGGTACGTCTCTTCTTTTTCCCTTTAACAACGACTTCCATGGCCCTTCAGTCCTTCTCACTCTTCTCTCCCTTTCCCCCCCAAAAAAATGTGTCATGGCTGCCTGCATTTCCTGACCGTTACCCAAATAGAAACTAGCCCAGGCTCCAGGACCTTACCAATCCCGCGCCCAGAACATGTACACGGAGCTCCGCAAGAATCTGGTAAACACGGTGTATGAAAGCTGGAAGGAGACGGGGTTTGCGTGGGAGCAATACAATCCCGAGACGGGCAAAGGTCAGCGGACGCAGCATTTTACGGGGTGGACGAGCTTGGTGGTGAAGATTATGGCGATGCCGGATTTGGGTGGCGAGAGGGTGAGGGATGAGTTGTAGATTTTTGGGCGTGGAGGATGGAGGGAAATGGGCTGGTTTCTTTTGGAGATGGCGGGGATGAATGGGAGTGCTAAATGGGATGAGGTGTGCGTGTGTAGCGCCGGGTAAGTGTAGCATAGTTCTGTCAGCATAGAGGAGAAGGCGAGAATATCAGAATATAGTGATTGCATATATTAAATGAAAGCGTCATTACTTGTACATTGTACTTGACCCAGCTTAGGTACCCAAGCAACCCCATTCCACCATCCCAATCCCACCACCATCACCACCACCAGCACAAACAAACAAACCCACTCATCCAACCCCCCAAAGAAAATTTCTCCTTGCCACTCCTACCACCCCTTCTCTTAAAAAAAAATCCCCCCCAAAACTCCACCCTCTTCCTTCCTAAACCAGACGTGCCCCCCCGCCCCCGGCATCTAATCCCGTATACATACATACAGTAACCTCCCAACTCGTGGTCCCCCCACCACACCCCTGCACCCCACCAACCCCCATCAGGAAGCCGACAAGACAAACCACCCAGCACCACCAAGACACGCAACCAACACAACACAAGCCGGCACCCAAACGCGTTGCACAGATTGCAGGTGCGGGGCCGGGTATTGGTCCAAGGGGGGAATGGGGGGGTCGGGGATTGGGGTGGGGATTTTTGGCTGGGCTGCTGGGCTGCTGGGGGAAGGGGGGTTGGTTTAGGGAGGTGGGATGGGGACTTGGTGGGTTATTGTTTGGGGGAGGGGTGCGGTGGGTGCCGAGGAGATTTAATGAATGCTTGATTGATTGTTTGGGTTAGGGGAAGATTGGGATGGGATGGGATGGGAGGGTGTATATAAAGGGAGGGTTTGTGGGTTTGTCTCGTCATTGTGAAGTTACTTTGGTACGGGTATCGTTTTCGGGGACCGCTTTCTTGTGGATATTTTTTTTGATACCGGATTTTACATCTTCTTTTTGCTTGATTTGGAAAGAAGAGAAAAGGTGAACATGAAGGGGTCTGTTTTGTTGGCTGCGGCGTGTGCGTCGACGGCTGTGTTTGCGGAGGAGCGGGTCAAGCCTAGGGCGCTGGTGACGATTGAGGTTGCGCCTGGGGAGACGAGGCAGATTACTGAGGAGGAGAGGTGGGACTTGACTGCTGTGAGCTTTTCTCTTTCCTGCTTCCTCTTTTTAGCTGGGAGAGCTCATCTGACGAGCTGTTGTCTCTAGAACGGTGGATGCGGAGCCCACTTCTTCGATATATCCACCACGCACGCCGAACCCATCGAGGTAAAAGCCCACGCGCCCTACCCATCCACCTTCTCCTACCAAGAGAATGTCAAACGCCTGTTTCCCAAACTCAACTGGGACAACATCCTCAAGAATCTGGAGCACTACACCACCTACCCCACGCGCTTCTCCGAGACAGAAACGGGTGCCCAAGCCGCAGACTGGCTGCTCACCCAAGTCCAAGACGTAGTCTCCACATCAGGAAAGCAGGGCGTGACCGCCGCAGCATTCCCCCACGCTGCCTGGCCCCAAGACTCCATTGTCGTGACCATTCCCGGCCGCACCAACAAGACTGTCATCGTAGGCGCCCACCTCGATTCCGTGAACAGTGCGAATCGCACAAGGGGCCGCGCCCCAGGCGCCGACGACAACGGCACCGGCTCCTTTACCATCCTCGAGGCACTGCGCGTGCTCCTTAGCGACGATGAGAACTTTGGCGCCGGGAAGTTGGAGAATACAGTCGAGTTCCATTGGTATGCTGCCGAGGAAGGCGGGCTCCGCGGCAGTCAGGACATTTTCACACAGTATGCGGCGGCGGGACGCGATGTCTGGGCCATGTTGAACCAGGATATGACGGGTTACTCCAAGGCGACGTTGGATGCGGGCAAGCCCGAGAGCTTTGGGCTGATTACGGATTTTACGGATGCCGAGTTGAATCAATACATGACCCGTGTGATTGATGAGGTATGTTTTGTCGCTTTTTTTTCCCTTGACGTTGCCATCACTTTGCTACTCGATGGCTAATAGGTTTGATAGTACACGGATATCACGCATGTCGAAAGTACGTGCGGCTATGCGTGCTCGGATCATGGATCTGCCACGCGAAGTGGGTACCCGTCGTCTTTCGTGTTTGAGGCGGCTTTTGAGTATCGGAATCCGCACATCCATACGCCCAATGACACGATTGACAAACTGGACCCAAAGCACGTGCTGCAGCATGGACGGTTGGTGTTGGGGTTCATCTACGAGCTTGGGTTTAGCGCAGCGTCGTAGTAGGGGAGGATTTGTATATTGTTCCAGTCGTGTTTGGTTGCGTGACTTCTTCTTACTCATGGTACAAGATCTGACTGTCTGGGGTATTGCTATGGAAATTGCTGTAAATTAAAGAGGGGTTCAACAAAGCATTCATGACTTTGCGAGAATCTTTCCCCGCACTCGAAATCGCTCCTATCCTGTCATCTTGAAAGTAGGCGTGCGGGCTCATTTTCCCACAAACCGTTGATCCGTCATGTCGAAATGCTAAGTGCCCCCAGACTCTCAGCACAAGCTGGCCGAGAGCTCTCTGGGTTGTACAGAAACTGCATGTCGGGTGTGACTCTCAAGATGGTTCGATGCCCAAGCTGGCGGTTCGTGGATTTGATCATTGATGTTGGTCGAACACTGACATGGCTTTGTCGGTCCTTGACTCCTGGGGTCGATTTGCAGTGCGGGGAGTCTGAAACGACGGTCTAGCCTGTTGGAGACTAGCTTCTGACTGATTGGACAGGCGGTGAACGTGCAGCACGGTACCTGCCTAGGTAACCCCAACTGCGCCTACCTATGTTGTGTGCGCATGGTTGCGGCGCCTCACGCGCAGACACGCACAAAGAGGAGAGAGGGAGAGAGAGAAAGAGAGAGAGAGAGAGAGAGAGAGAGACTGAGTTTCATGGAGGATCGGAATCGCGATGAAGACTTGATGGGGTATCGGTCTGACTAGATCGCCATAGTCGTACCTTGGCCGAGGCCAGCCTCATAGCTGTCACTGCAGTGCTCAGCTACCACCGATTGGCGCGTAGGCGTCGGCGGAAGCGTGGGCCAGCATTGATGGGCGACACTTGAGACTTGGGACAGAGCGCTGGAGGGTAGCGGCAATTGGGCCGAGGCGTGACGACAGCTTGGGGATGGCAGTTGGGTACGCGTGGACGAGTCACCTTGGACGACCAGACGACGCACGCTTGGACTATGGACAGCGGGCGCCGACGATCCATCGTAGTTGCTCAGAGAGATCAGAGAGCCGGCAACTGGCAGCTCTTCTTTTTGCCAGCAGTCATGTCGGGAGCAGCAGCAGGCAGCTTGAAGAACGCAGGGGCAGATGATGTGTGCGCTGAGCGGGCGTGGAATTTACCTAGTTAGCTATTACTAGAGTAGCATAGGGAGAGAGTACAATAGAGTACATCCTGTGGTAGGTACATGGAGAGTACCCGTACCCTTGTGGCGGGCGACCCATAACTTGGCTCGTTACTACTCTAACCATAGGTACGTCGAGTAGGTTAGTTTAAGGGTCCCGCACGCTCGCTGCAAACCGTCTCTCCACATCCGTAACCGTAGACAACAAAGTGCGTGTGTTCTGTGTTGCTTTCAACCCAAAAGACAACAGGAAACACGACCGCGGCCTCTTGAACCCGCTGGCCCACACAGCTCACCCAGCTCTCTCTCTCTCTCTCTCTCTCTCTCTCTCTCTCTCCCTCTCTCTTTCCTTCACTCACACATCCACACCAACACACACACACACACACACACACACACACACACACTTTCTTTCCAGTCTGTCCCTACCCGCGAGAGATTGTGCCCGCACCGCTAGACGCCCACAGCGTTTCAAGGTAGTTCGCCTGACCAGCACCTGCCACGGCCACGGCCACGGCCACCAGCCACTGCCCTTCCTGTACTCACATCCTACACACCGGCGGTACCTGCCCATTGTCTTGTTCGTACTTGCCTCGTCCTTCTGCGCTCCACGAGAAAAGCCCGCCCGCCCCCTTCCCGCTCAAGGCACCGAGGGCCGTCGCCCTGTATATGTTTAGATTGCTTGTATGTCTCTCGTCTGTTCCTCTGTCCTGCCGCCCCCTCCTCCTCCTCCTTC